AAAACGCTCCCTTCCGTGTAAAAAGGAAAACGCATGCCTGTCATTTCTAGTGGCAGGGACCACGTAATTTCCTGCCCCCCCTCCCCCCATGTTTAAAGAATAACTTGTCACATTGCTTGTTACTTTTCAGTTCCTTTTCTTGGGTCCAAATCTTTTACAATAAGAGAATGGCACGGGAATGATTTGATTAATTCCTCCAGAAATACCTCCCAAAATGATCTTTAAAAGTATAACCTCAGAAAAGGGCTACTTCTTAACGCCAGTCAATTCACTTGGTTCCCACTCGCTGGGTTGCCTTCGGAATACAGCCTTCTTGGTGCGCCACCCTGGCCCGGAAAAAAGTCACTCTTGGACGAACGGTCAGGGCTCCTCGTCCTTGGTTACTTCTCAGGTCCGATAACCAGAAACCCCAACCGGTATTTGCCAGGTCTCACCCGAACCCCTTCTATTTCTCCTCTCTCTCTGGATTCCGAGTAATTCTCTCTCTTGGAGATGGTTCCGATTTATCGGCATCTACCTGTTGGTTGCTCTTATAACTTAATTATTTAAAAATATTCTCGGGATGGAGGTGATTAAATCATGTATTTCCATAAGCGGCCGAAATAAATAAGTATGTTTCTTAAGAGGGATGGAGAAAAGCTTGCTTGTGTGTGTGTGTCTGTGTGTGGCCATTAAGGGTGCCTGGCCCTGTGCCACAGGGGGAGGATGGAGCTTGTAGTCCTGTGCCACCCAGAATGGAGGTGGCTGGAGAGGGAGAGTCCAAAGGCGAAGGAATCTCTCTCCTACTTCTCCCTATCTATTCATTCCTCTTTGTCTTCCTTCCCCCCCCAACCCGCCCCCTCCAAATGCAGCCCTGCCCAGCCGACCACCCAGACCCTCGGGCCGTCCAGTGTGCTGCCTACAACGACCAGGAGTTCATGGGCCGTTTCTATCAGTGGGAACCTTTCACGGATGGTAAGCATCTGGGTCTTTCCATAAAAAAGCCCTTTTTCTCTTTCTCCCGACCCCTTGGGCCTCTGGAACGGAGCAAAGGTTCTCTCTCAGGGAAAGCTCTCCCTCGCCAACGGGCCCTCGGCCTGGGCCACCCCCCCCCCAAAAAAAAAACATGTAATGTTTTGGGTTGTTTCTAGAACGTAAGAGCAAGCCAAACAAAGATTATTACCTGTAGTCCCAAAAATGAAGATTTTGAAGACATGCACTTTGAAATAAACTTCCCTGGGGAGTAAGATTTATAGATGTACCGAGACTGTTTAGAAAGGAATCTCTCTCCTACTTCTCCCTATCTATTCATTCCTCTTTGTCTTCCTTCCCCCCCCAACCCGCCCCCTCCAAATGCAGCCCTGCCCAGCCGACCACCCAGACCCTCGGGCCGTCCAGTGTGCTGCCTACAACGACCAGGAGTTCATGGGCCGTTTCTATCAGTGGGAACCTTTCACGGATGGTAAGCATCTGGGTCTTTCCATAAAAAAGCCCTTTTTCTCTTTCTCCCGACCCCTTGGGCCTCTGGAACGGAGCAAAGGTTCTCTCTCAGGGAAAGCTCTCCCTCGCCAACGGGCCCTCGGCCTGGGCCAGCATCCCGTGGCAAGGAGTTCCACATGCTGACGCTCTGGGCGGGCTGAAGGAATGTCATGGGTTCCTTAATGTTTTGCTACCAGGGCTGTGGAGACCTACGTGGAATGAATGAAGGGGCAGTCAGTCGGGTTCTGCGGGCTGAGAAAAGCCGTGTAAATCTCTTATCGTTGATTGTGCTTTTTGCCTTCGATTTATGGCTCTCCTTCCCTTCTTCCGCACAACAACCCCTGTGAGGTAGGCCTGGCTAAGAGAGAGAGAGAGGGAGGGGGCAAGCATGAGGGTCTTGCAAATCTCTGGCTGCCCCGCCAGTAAAAGGTTTTTATGACAGGGGAGTATCCCACCCAGAGCATTGACGCGATGCTTTTTTTGACCAAAAAGAGAAAAAGGGACCGGCAAGGCTAGCGGTTAGAGGAGGCGAAGTCCAAACTTGTCCAAGGTCTGGCCCCACTTTATTCGCTTGAGCAGCCCCACCCTCCCTGTTTTCTTCCGAAACTCTTGCTACGGCTGCACTTTTCATATATTATCTTCGCAGCCTTGAGAACTAGAATCTTGGCTGCTGCTTTGTCGGTCCGCGATGTGTCTGTGACAACCTGGCTGGACGCGGTCTGGGTTTTGTGATTAGCTTTCTCGGAGGCCTCCGCTCTTCTTCAAGCGCGGCCAACCTCGGCTTCTCTTTGTGCTCCTCCGCCCGCCTCTGCAGATCTTGGCTCTTCCGTGGCTCGGGCAGGCGGCCAAACCTTCTGGCCATCCAGAAATACGATCCGGGGGCTTACGCTCTGGCTCTCTCGCTCTCTCGCTCTCTCCCCACCTCCTGTGCAGCAGCTGAGCCCTCTGGCTATCTCGAGAAATAAGGAAGAGGGGGAGGCAGGGTGGGGGGAAGGAGGTGCCCCCTCCCACACGGTGGTATTTTAATGAACTGTTTTTAACAGTGGGAGGGGGGTGTGGGGGCTTGTCACCATTGCTTACATAAGCCGCTTTGGAGAGAGAGAGAGAGAGAGAGGTCAGTGCAAGGACGTGGCAGCTCAGGATGAGAGCCAGAGCCGGACAATACCAGGCGGGCACTTGGGCAACTGGGGTGGGGTGTCGGGCACCGCTGGGATCCCAGCTCCTTGAAATCGGCTCGAGGCCCCCTTAAGAGATGCCCTGAGCCACTTCATGCTCCCCTATTCCCCATCCTCATGTCTTGAAGGAGACGTCTGAGAGAAGCCCCATCCACCCACCCACGCCTACCCCATAGCCCAATTCTTGCAGCCAGTCCTTGGAACTCACTGCCACTGGATGTTCCAAAAGGAGGTACCCACTTTCTCCACTCCTTACATTGTTCCCGGGCTCCATTTGTACAATAGAATGCGAAACAATGTTGGTTTTGATAAACATTTTGTTTCCCTTGCCGGGTGGTGGTGGTTGTGTTTCAGAACTAACTTGTCAGTGTTATTACATTAGAGTTTTGCCCTTTTTTGTTACTTTCTGCTACTTTGTCTGACACAAAGATCAGAAGGAATCTGAGAGTGCACCAAAGGACACTCCTTACACTGCTTCCTTTATTTCAGAAATGAGATTCTGCTGCATTTTGCTTGTTTATTCTGTTTTAATTATATACCGCTGGCCTAGCCAGAGGCCACTCTGGGCAGTTTACAATACAACAAAGACGATAAAACATAGCTACAAATATAAAAGTGTATTCAACATACTAAAACATAAAAAATATCACAACAGTTAAACTCTTTAACCAAGAACAAAGAGTAACTTGCTGGAGGCCAATTGCCACTTGTTACTTACATCCTAGTTCTGGAAGTGTGTGTGTGTGTCTGTGTCTGTGTCTGTCTGTCTGTCTGTCTCTCTCTTTTTCTCTCTCTCTCTCTCCTCTGATCTGATCTGGCTTCCGCCTTGCCAAATGATGTTTATGTGGTGGAAGTTCAACTGGTGCAGCCTTCTCCCATGGCTTTGTGCCCATACAGTATCGGAGAAAGCTGTGCCGGTGGGAGTTCTGCCTGTCGGGTGCAGGAATTGTCTTGGGAGAGGGGAGGGGGGGGAAAGAGCTGCCCCACCCTTGGTCTTTCTGTCCTGTTTGCCTCCCCTTGGGTCGGGCTCAGAGAATCCAGGGGTTTTAAGGCCCTTCCACAGTTACCCCTCCTGGCTTGAGAAAGTCTGCAGAGGAGGCTAAACCAGAACGTCTCTTAAGAGCCAACTTCTCTTCCCTTTCGCTTCAAAGGGACGCTTTTTTGGAGTACAGATCCCACCCCTTTCCTTAGGAGCAGCCAGATCAGGGCCTGGAGGAGGAGGGCCAGACCCCCCCCTTCCGTCTCCCCATCCACCCACCGTGCTTGCATTTTAAATTTGGGCCTGGCTAGCTCCCCTTTGCACCCTCTTCCCCTGCCTGTGCATGTGTGAGAGACGGAGAGAAAAAGTAAAACCGCGACAGGGTTTCTGAACATGGGCAGAGTACATTCAGTGGCCACCACCTCCTGCAGCAAAACCTTCCAGCTGTTCTCTTGGGAGATGATTCCAGTTACACACATATCTTGCTTTCCAAGCCCAATTTGAACGCCTTGGAAGATGATTCCAGTTACACACGTACAGTATCTTGCTTTCCAAGCCCAATTTGAACGCTTGGTGGTGTATTCTTGTTATTTTGGAAGCACTTCCTTGATAAACAAACCCTCCTCCGCCCCTCCGGTACCAAAATATTCTTAAATAAACAGGAGGAGGGGGCCAGGTTCCCCAGACAGGGCGGCGGGCGCCCCTTCCTTCGGCTGGCTGGCCTTCCTTGTCCCTATCTTTGAGCCAATATTTATGTTTCTAAGCCCAGCAGGGTCTGGCGCGTGGGGTGGGGGAAAGACCCAGCACAAAAAGCTCCTTTGTCCCGCGCCCCCCCTCCACCTTCGTTTGGCACGGGGCTCGCCAAGCCGGGGGTCAGTGGCTCAGCCGCAGAGGTGCCAGTGGGAAAGGCCGAGAAGGAGCTAAATTGGGCCCTCGCTTCCTTTCAGCTCTTTTGAAAATAAACGCTGGAAAATGTGGAAAGCTCGCTTGGCTGCAAAAAGGCCCTTCACGTCCCAGGGGGTCCGTTTCGGGAGGGAGGGGTAGGAAGGAAGCCTCAGCCTTTAATCTTTCCTTTTTTCGGGGGGGGGGAGAAATACCTGGAGATGGGGTTCCCGTTGGTGAAACTCTGCATCAGCTCCAGGATGCTGCTCCTCTCGGTTCAGGGCCTAGAAAAGCCCAGAATCTTTCATTATCTCATCTCACCTCCAAGGTTCTAATCGTTATCATCAAAGTTCATTTACTTGCCTTTTGAGATATTCCTTTCTTGTGTGTAGGGGGAAGCACGGGATAATTAAATCAGTCACAAAGGCGGTTGAATAGATATATTCCAATTTACACACACACACCCCTGGGCTCCCTCTTATGGCGGCATCTTGTTCTCAAGGTTCTCGTCCTTAATGTGGAAGCCTTTAATGCCTACTATTTCTGCACCCAGTTCGATCATCCTTCTTGACCTTTCCAGCCAGCCTTTCCATGCATCCATCCGTCTTTTCTTCCGGCCACTTTTGTCTCCTGGAACCCCTTCAATGGATCCTAAAGGATGTCCTGGAATAAATATTCTGAAAATACATTTTGATAGCAGACATAAAACCTGGTAGCTGCGGATTGCATTTTCCGGAATCAATGATAACTTGAAAAGGAACAAAAAAAGTCTCTTGTGTGTCTTGTGTCGGGCAGTTCCGCAGGTGACTGAGTTGTCCATGGTATGAAAGGAAAGGGGAAAGAGAAGGGGACTGAGATGAACAATAAGAAGAACAAGGGAGGGGAAGGAAAGTCTTTAAAGCCCTTTGCCAGTATTTCCGTTGTCACCTGTACAAGGATGTTCATTCGCCAAAGGTAACTAGGCCTATTTATGAGCTTCCTGAGCTTTGACCATTTCATCTTGTTTTCATCTTGCAGTGCGAGGCTCCCAGCGCTGTGAGCTGAACTGCCGTCCCATCGGCCACCGATTCTACGTGCGCCACACGGAAAAAGTGCGAGACGGCATCCCGTGCGAGGCCTCCTCCCAGGATATCTGTGTGGCTGGGCAGTGCCTTGTGAGTTCAGTGGCTTTCCCATGCACTGGAGGGGTCGGGGTGGGTGACGGCAGCAGAGGCAGCTCTTTCGGGGAACTGGAGAAGATTTCAGGGGGGAGTGGAGAACCTGGGGGGGCCACAATACAAATCATTCCCCCACCTCCAAGCCACATTTCTTTTAACAGAAAAAGTGATTCTGAATAAAACAAAGCTTGTTTTATAGGAGAAGGGTGCCCCCTGGTGGCCCTGGAAAGTGTCATTTCTCTCTCTCTCTCTCTCTCTAAGGGTGCCCCCTGGCGGCCCTGGAAAGTGTCATCTCTCTGTCTCTCTCTCCCTCCCTCCTTTCTGGCCTCTGTCTCTTCCCCAGACTCCTGGCTGTGACGGGATCCTGGGTTCAAATCGAACCCTGGACAGTTGCGGCATCTGCGGAGGGGACCACACCACTTGCAAGCTGGTGGTTGGCAACTTCAGCGAGACGGACGTCCCCATCGGGTATCACCGCATCTTGGAGATCCCGGCGGGGGCCACTCGGATCCACATCAGGGAGATGACCCGAAGCCCAAACTACCTGGGTCAGTACCAGCCAGCCGCTGGGAAAGTTCCTTTTGTTAAAAAAGCAGTCGGTTGACACTAGCGTCCAAAACATTTTAATTTTTCCTGTCTACTCCCAGCTCTTCGTAGCCACAACGGCAAATCCATCATCAACGGAAACTGGGCGGTGAACCCACCCGGGCGCTACGAGGCAGCCGGGACGGTTTTTGTCTATAGCCGCCCGGGGAACGACAGGCAGGAAGGGGAATCGCTGATGGCGGACGGACCCACCGTGGAACCTATAGATGTGTATGTGAGTATGCAGCAAGGGGAGGGGGCGGGGGGGCTTCCCCTGCCTTAGGGATGACAAAGCTCAGTTTCTAGTCCTTAAGGATACACATGGGCCATGCTTTCCAAAACCTTAAAAAACCCCGTCTGGAGAGTACTGTACTTTCTGGCCCTAAGAGGGAATGTTTTGGGAATTCTCCTTGTGTTTGAGGTCTCTAAGAAACCTAGATATGCACATTATGTCTCATTTCAACAAACTCTGTGTCATTTACAGTTTCGGGGGGAAAAATAAGGGGCAAACCAAAGTGTGGCAGGTAGCCACTGGATGAAACAGGTTTTAAGTAGACTTAAGAGGAGGAAAAGGGGACTATAGTGTGTATTGTCTGGGATGGTTGGTAGAACATCCAGGCTCAGGAAATGTCTATCTTGGAGTAGCAGATTCTGAGGCCAGACAAGGAGAGCCCTGGATTATGAGGCCATCCCATTGGATCATTGTGAATCCTAAGGGGCTGGCCCATTTATGGATTTGGCCCCCATGCTCCTGTGCCCCCACCCCTTCCTAAACGCCTTCTACATAATCCTCTCGCAGATGATCTTCCAGCAAGACAACCCTGGGGTCTCCTACCAGTTCTTCCTCTCTTCTGCCCTGCCAGAGGACTCCCATCGTGAGCAACCTCCTTCTCGCCCAGAATTCGGTGAGCAAACCGGCCCCTTCCTCTCTGGCCCTGGCGGAGGTCCCTGGGGGGCTTCCCTTGGAGGGAAACCTACCAGGTGCACTTGGGGGGGGCGAGACTGGCAAGGCCTGTGGGGGGGGGCTTCCTTCCTTCCCGGTGTGTCCCATCCATTCTTGATGTGCTGCTGGAGAAAGGCCACAGGTCCGGATGGGTCCTCAGCAGAACAGGCGGGAGGGATGGGGTGGGTGGGTGAGGGCGAGGGTCTGCCATCCCGGCGGCCCCTCCCCTCTTGCTGAACGGTGTTTCTCCTCTCCACCTCCTTCCACACACCAGGTGCCTTGACTCTGGTTTCCCCCGGCAGTCCTGCAGAGTCCCCTCTGAGCCACATTGTGCGCCCGGCGTCAGCCGAGGGGCGTCACCGAATCCCGGCGGGTCCCCCAGTCTCCTCCGGCCAGTCGGGGAGGACTCGTGCCGTGGCCCCACCTCCTCCGGCCTCGGGCGGCCACTCGGGAAGGAGCCCCGGGACGCTGCAGCGCCACGTCCGGGTCCCACCCTTGCTGCCTCCCCCTCCGCACCACTCCGAGGGCTCGCACGACTACTACTGGAGGCGGATCGGCAACACGGCCTGCTCGGCCACTTGCGGGAAAGGTAAGCCCTCGACGGGCAGAGAAGCTTCTTGGTGGTCTCTTCCCTCGGTTTCCTTCAGCTGCTGGTTGACTGCTCCTGAACATGGAAGTTTAGTTTTCCGGCTCTGCCAGTTTGCCTTGCCCCCAGAGACAGAGCGGCCGGTCAGGAAAGGCCTGGGTCAAAGGTCAACACGAACAGGCCAGTCACTTTTTCTAAGCCTCCACTTGTAACCTCTAGGACCTGATGTGCCCTCTGGGGGAATCCTAATCCTGGCCTGCCCTGTAGGGTCGTTGTAAAGATCACACGTGTCATCTAATTATACATGCGAAGCGCCTGAAAGCACCGCCCATAATAACTTTTTTCAAAACCAAGGATGCTGGATGTTTCGGTTCACAGCCCTCAGTCGCTGACCCCGGGCGTCTCTCCCTTTAGGTTTCTGGCAGTCAGTCTACCGTTGCATCTCCTGGGCTTCCCAAGAAGAGGTGGGAGAGGAACATTGCCACCTGATTCCGAAGCCCATCGTGCAGGAAGAGGTCTGCAACACAGAGCCCTGCCCGGCCTAGTGAGTGTTCTTGGTTTTTACCCCGTCTCGCGAGTTTTCCCATCCGCTGCCCTCTGCAGGCCAGGAGGGCTCCTGACACCCCTCGAGACCCTGAGGATTTTGTCCCCCCCTCCTCTTTTCGGTCAATTACGTCCCCGTGATTCATGCCCCGCGCCCACAGGAAGGCCGGAGCTCTTACTCATCTCATCATTTCACAACGGACCAGAAGCCGTTGCGAAAGTAGCCAGAAGATAAAGCCACTCTCTCTCCGAGTGGAAGCGTTTTTTTGACCCTGTGCAATTTCTTCATAGCTTTCAAAACCTTGAGGTTTTTTAGCAAGCAACCCAGAAATGTTTTCACGTGTTTTGCTGTTGACTCTCTCTCTCTCTCTGCTCACGGGTGCTTCGAAGAAGGGGTGCAAAGGAGCAAAAGCTAAAAGCCGCGCAAGAAGCCCAAAGGAGGCTGGTGGCGAGTCAGGGGCCCGCGGGGTGGTCCGGGAAGAGCCTGAGTTACCTCTCGGGCAACCCCACCCAGAATCCCCCCGGGCGGCAGGCCCAGTCAGACAGAAATCCCCCATCTCCAGGGTTCCATCTTTCGGACACGCAAGAGCTATTCCGGTAGATGGCAGGTCTTATTTCTAAGACAGGAAGGTTAAAAAGAGAGGGAAAAATAAAAAATATAAAAACATTGTGATGGTCCAAACGTGCCTGAATCAAAAGCAGTCACAAATGTCCTGGGCCAGTCCGGCGCACAGCAAGCAGGCAGGCAGCGGCCCGAAAACCCACCCGAAGGAAAGGCTTTGCCTGCCAGCCGAAGGACAGTGGGGCAGCCTAGCCTCCAGTGGCAGGGAGTTCCACAGCTTGGAAGCCTCCGCTACAAAGGTCTAGTTTTTGCTCTTCTTCACTGCCCCCAGAGGATGCTTGTTTCTTCAGGGGCAGCGATTGTTATTCTTCTGTCCTGTGTCCCCTAATAAAGGGATCAATTAATCGATCGATTGATCCATTGGCAGCCAGCCGCAGAGGCTTCCCCGCTCTTAACCTCTTGCCCCTTTTGACACCCCCTCCCCCAGCTGGGACGCAGGCGACTGGTCGGCATGCAGCAAATCCTGCGGCCTGGGCACTCAGCACCGCCAGGTCCTCTGCCGGCAGATCTACGCCAACCGCAGCACCGTGGTCCACCCGCAGCGCTGCGGCCACCTGGAGAAGCCCAACGCCACCCAGGCCTGCCAGGTGCAAGTGTGCAGCCACTGGGAGATCCACGCCAACTGGAGCTCGGTAGGAGGAGGAGGAGGAAGAGGGGGGTGGCTGGAAAAG